AAAAAAAAAATTCGATGATACAGTGATTCGATAATTTATCAATGATTCACATGCGCCAATATATAGGCAAAAAACTGTAAAAATTTCGAAGGATCGGTTGTCTGCAAAAATTAATCATAGTTTTCGGTAATTGACTCGTCCAAATAAACAGTGATTTTAATATTTCAGTTGAACATTCACACACGTCAATTTTTAGACTCAAACAAAAACAAAGCATTTGAAGGATGTATATATACACGCCAGAAAAAACAACTGGTATTTTTCTTAAACCTTTCATCAAGTGCTCAGCAAATTCCATGTCCGATTTTCCCTGTCAAAAGTTCATCTTCACCATATGAGCAGTAATTTGTTCATCAGCTAAAAATTGTTTGGTTAAAAAAAATATTTGAAAAAAAACGGTCCGAAAATTTCCAAGTCCTAGAAATTTTTTAGTACGTCCATACAAAAGTAAAAAGAGGTTTAATAAAATTCAATAATTGACTCGAAATCCAAGATAGAGCGAAAGTGATTTTTATGCTAATGCCTTAGAATAACTGTACCTAAAGTTTTGGCTTCACTGCTAATTTCTTCCAGACTGGACTTTTTGTCATCTCCCCCGAGCTGACTCTCTAGTTCGTTGTCAGGATCAAGTAATTCCTCCGAGTCTTCATCCACTCTTCGCTTCTCCCCGACGTAAACCCAGTAGCAGTGCTTGTAACAACCCGGATACACGTCACCTGCATATAAGAAGGAATATATACAGACAACATCTTGAGATAATGATCAAATTGCATGTATGAAAATCAGGGATTCAGCTCACCGCTTTCTTCTTCGTCGTCAAAGGAAAGATCCAGGGACATGGACTTGGCAGAGCTCTGGGAATTCCGTCGAGACAACTTGCTCAACGACGCTTCGGAACTGCAAGAATCCATGCAGACTCTTTCCGTACTGCCTGTCATTTTTCTCCTCCTTTTCAAATAAAAAACGAACATCAATATGATTCGTACAGTCCAGCTTTAAATGAAGATAATAGACCCCCCCCCCCACAGAAATTACTAACCCGCTCCAAATTATGCATGAATTCTAAAAATTAAGAAGGTTCCCTGCTGGAAGAAACCTTCTTTTATGAAGGGACAAATAATTCTAAATTATGTTTCATCAAAATTTACTTGGCATTATTTTAAGAAAAATGCTAAAAAAAAAGCAAGCCATATTTATCGATAATTAAAGAAAAATAGCTTGAATGCTTAAAATGTTTTTGGACCAAAAACGTGATTTGTTTTATTTACACTTGATGTATATTTAAATTTCTACTTTATTTTATTTGCCTCATGGAATTCATGCCTAGAATGAGACAATGATGCAGCAGGTCGGAGCAGCTTTTCCATCACGGACTTACTTTATTCGCATGAGCAGGCATGACACCTAGTCATGAATATGCAAACCACCCTGTTCAAACTCATTCACAGTGACTTGAACTTGCCAAAAATTCTTCATTATTATGCTGTTTCTTTCTCTCCAAAATAGTCAGCATCATGTCAGTGATTCCTGCTGAGTGAATCATATGCAACTACAGCTCATCAATTTATCTGCAGATTGATAAATACATAACATCTTATTATCGTATTAAATTCAATTGAAAACTCAAATTTGTTCACACTTCTTTGATACCAACTCTCTCAGAATTATTATTCTCAATTTTACAGACAACATCTGACAGTTAAATAGAGAACTCTTCCTGCTTGGTATATCTAGTTTATCATTTCAAATAAGGATGACCTTTATTCAAGTACTGCAGGACTTGAGCATTCTGTGAAAGGAAGAGATGCATTAAAATCCTGAATAA